GCAATATAAACAGATAAAATATAAACAATATATGTGCAGTCAGATTTGAAACAAATAGTGTCTTAAATGATGCAGTAAGTACAGCATACAGAAGCAAGCAATACTTGTATAGTTTATTTGTTTCAATACGACTTTTCAATCTTTTTTTAGGTTATTCAAAATTCACAGGCATATGTTATGAAAACTTTAAACCAACACCACTTATGATACAGTTCATAAATTCAGTGAAAACCACTAGAGTTTGCACATGCAACTGAAACAATTTGTTGCACATCTTTAAATACACTCAATATCTTCATATAGTTTTCAATGCTGAAACAACTTTCTTATTGTACAAAAATTTAATAAGATTGAATACAATCAAAACAAAGGAAGGATAAATCTGAAAGAACAATGTATAAAACTGATTTATCTTTGGTCTTGATATACACACAGATTATAATTATGGTGATTATTTCATTACTGAAGTTTTATAGATAAAAGTAAAATTATATCCCAATTTGTATTCTAAATATTGTTTGAGTAGTTTTACACTTGAAACATTGCCAACAATTTTAATTTTTGCTTACAAGTTCATGTATAAAACAGTCATTTCACACTTAGGGTAAATTGTATTACAGTAAATAGTATAGACTTTGTTTAGAGCAGTGATTCTCAATGTCAGATCCAAACAGTTTAACTTTGAGGGAAAAAGTGCAAATGAATGTTATCTGGAAAGGCAAACAAGTTATTTGCAATATTTTTTCTTTGGATTATTTCTTTAACATTTTTATTTTCAAATCAACAAAATTAAATATATGTATAAATAAAAAATGTGATGTATTGTTAGTGCCTAGCCTAATCTACTATTCAATTTATTATCAGGCTCATTTAAGCCATTAACTGATTACATTCAATTTATCAATTATTCTCAAAAGATGGCTTAAAAAACAAAAAACATTAATACATAATTCTCATGAGATGACTAAAGAAAAACAACTCATAACTCTAAAAATCAGGTTTTGGATAGAGCAAAGATAGGACATTTTGAAGCTTTGTGCTCAACAAACATAATTACAATATTTTGATTACTTGACTAGTTGGAATAATTGAAAACAGTAATAATTAGAAACTGTAATTTCAATAAACTGACTATTTTCATGACTCTTGTAACACTAATTGATTAAGCTGAACAAATTTGAATTAAGCAAAAATAATAATGAGCCAATGTAATACAGCATGGTTAATTTGTAAAAGGAACCTTACAGTAGTTACATTATCCCTATTTTTTTCTGTTGTGACCTCCATGTACAGAGAACGTATAACAAAACCCATCCCTAAGTTCTTTATTTATTAACTTCTTTTTAGTTTTTCTTCCCCATACAACTTTTTTTTTCTTCCTCCCATACAACTTAATTTTTTTCTTCTGAGGAAGTCTTTTTTTTTTTTTTTGTCAATAATTAATGAAATGAAGTTAGTGTTTCTGATTATTCCAACTATCCAGTAATCAATATTATCATTAATGTTATGAAAATAATCAACTAATTGCAGTTAATATTTCCGATTATTGCTGTTTTGGATTATTTCAACTATCCAGTAATTGAAGCATGGCCATTATTATTTTTATTACAGTCACAATACAAAGGGCCACGGTAATAATGTAATATTATTAACTAATCTCACCAGTTATTCTTCATCACTGGTTCATAAGCTTCTATCAGTATCACTGTCACTGATAGTATTAGTCCAACTCATGTGGGTTAAAACGTAAATGTGATTTGTCCATATTTCATTATTTGGAATCACACTGTCATTTTGATAATTTTCATTCTGTATCAGTAACCTAAGAAGCAAGTCTATCACACTCACGAGTCACAGTCAGAAACTGTGACTAGGAGTTTATTCATTTCATGTACTTATCATTAGTGCAAGTTGTATTAGTATTACTATTACAATACAAGTTGCAACATTTAAGGTTTTAGTTTTCTATAGACTATAGTATAGGCTTAATTCAATCGATGAACGCATATTTTTTTCACTGCAGTAGAACTGAACACTACAGTCTGAGGCCTGAAAAGGATTGGTAGTTATACCTATCATTATTAATGAATTAGTTAATTATGAATTAACTAGTTTAACTGTAGTGCATGTACTAATAGTAATACATTATACTAGTTTTTAATTTTATACGCTATACACTACAGTACTACTGCT